CACATACTTGGCCAGAGGACGTAAACCCGGCCTCTTGAGACAAAACAAGGGGCTTTTGCGGGGCAAACATCCACTCCGACCACTGGTCCCTAAGTTTTCCACAATAATCTAGCAGTAGGATTTCTTTTATTTAACTCACACTTCTTGATCCATTGTCATTTCTCTCCTTCTCTTCCTCTTCTGTCCTATTTGGTCCCTTTCTGTTAGTCCTCCTCCTCCACCACTTCCTCACCTACTGTACTGAAGTCAACACACAATGGGCCACTTCAAAAGGTCAGTTTGCTTTAGACATTCCTTTTAGAGAACGAGAGAACAATTATAGCTACTTCTCTGGTCTGGTCTGGTCTGGTCTGGTCTATGCACAATAAAAAAGGAAGTCGGGGCAGAATTAAATTGAGAATAAAAGAAAGAAAGAGAGAGGAAGTCACAGTATCCGCAATGACACAGTCATGGCCACAACCAAACAGAAGGAGATACAGTATCTGGGATGAGTGGAATGTGAAGCATTTTCCATAAATAGGCCTTGACCTCAGGTGGACCAGTTTTTTCCCTCTCTTTATATTTTCATGTTCTGAATGACAGGAAGGGGAAAGGGAAGAGGAAAAGATAAGAAGTTAAACTTGGATGTTTCTTGCTCAGAAATGAGACTGGGCAGCGACACAGAAAAGAGTGGGTGTAATGGCTTTGCTTACGCATTCACTGCCAGAAAAAGAATTACTCCATGACGACTTCCAGGGAAATGAAAAGAGGAGACTGTAATGCCTTTTTGCCTCACGTCCTTGACACAAGTGCAGTCATGTTATTTATTTTTGTAAGAGGACTGGTCTATGTGATCCCATTTGTACATAAAAAATACAGATGTTTCGGTTTCACAGCACTTGTTTTAATATTAATTTATTCAAAGACGTTTAAGACTGAATAAGAAATGTAGGAGATTCAGGAGAGATTTATTGTGCTTACATTACAGTTGCAACTCATGACTCACACAAATATCAAAGAATGACAAAATAACCATATTAGTGGTATATTTGGCTCAGGCAGCTAGAGAAATTTGAATTCCAGCTGACCAAACATTGGCTTTATTTTCCTGGTCCCACACTACTTAGAAGACTTACAATTTTTAGCTGCATGTACTGTAGTAATAATAATAATTTTTATTGCTATCACTTACTTCATTACTTGGAAACTCCGGAGCTTCCAGTGGACCTGTGATGTTGTGTCAGAAGTTTCTAAACATGGTAAAATGGCATAGGCGTGAGTAGCATTTCAACAATTGAACAGTAGGCCCTTTCCTTAGTTCTGAGCATCAACAGGAAGTCTGAAACGTCACACATACTTGGAAGGACTCACTAATAAAATGCATTTTCATCAACCAGAGCTCTGTTTCCCATAGGATGCGGAGAAATGTGAGACATGAAAACACATCAGCTGACACAGTGTCCACAAAGGGTCATGGACAATGATATTTTTTAGTCATAACGTGTTTGCGTAGATGTGCAAATGATTGTATTTAAATGAATCCCTAGTGCCAGGCTGCAGCATAAGTAGTGTAAATTCCCATAATGCTAACAGGAAGAAAGGAGCAGAGAAAGGTCTGACTTCATCGCTAACTACTCCATTCAGGATATTTTTGACCATCGCGGGCGTCATCGCTGCAGTTGGTCTGTGTGAGAAAGTGCATTTGTGTATGTGAGACATCACAGCTGAGTAGACAGGCCAGTTTCCTGTCTCGACAAGGTGTGTGTGTGTGTGTGTGCCTACTTAACTAAAACAATAGATGATGATTCTCCCATATTTCTGGAAGCACAAGCAATGATTTAGAGTCACACTCAAAACATGAGACACTTGTGCAAAGTGTGTGTGTACAAATTGTACTGAGTGCAGGTGTGACTGGGGGAACCATCATTCCACCTATTATCCTCCAGTTTTTACAATGTTTTTAAGACCTTTCCAAAACGGTGACGAGTCAAAAGATGTGCTTTCCTGTCTGTCAGAAGAACATCCGTTCCCATACTAAATCACCAAACAATGTAGATCTTGGATAAATCTCCAAATGCCTGAATTAGATCCTCAATGACATCCCAGTTATGGCAAACACAATAAAATTTGGGAAAGACCCTGGTTATGGTTAATAAAAAGGCAAGCATTACTTACAGGTCTGTAGCCTTGACCTAAATGAGTGGCATATGAAGAAAATACGTGGCACATTTATCCCAGGGCTCCATTTATTAGCCTAGGAACAACAGTGTTTGTATGCTTCCCTTTGCTGAATTCTGTGACTAAACCCAAAAGGGTCTCTTGGTTGACAAATGCCATTTGCTCTCTGAAGGAAAGCTGCATGTCCCTCAGAATGGTTCTAAACAGCACAAATCATCTATTAGGAAAATGGATACTGAGCTCTCCTCCCCGTCTGCCTTCCTCCCCCTTGTCTCAGAAAGCAGTAGCAGATGGGGTGATGAGACCCGTGTTCACATTTCCAGTCAGATCAGCTGACTGATACGCATCCCTTGTTTCCGCTCCTTGTGATCTGTGTGAGTGGGTGCTTGTGCAGAGGGGAAAGGTGAAAGGAATAGTATGCATACAGTAACATGAACAAAGCATCTCTGTTTTCATGATGAGGCCACCAGAACAGGAACGAGAGCGAAGGAGCACTGAGCAGCTACAGGGGTTCAGTGGCTTCTTTTATCCTTAGTAACCACTTGGTATGCTCTAAAAAGGGCACTGCATGAGGAAAATAAAGAAAATTAGATCTGGTAATATATGAATTCATAAAAGAAAGGAAATCCTATAAGAAAAGGAGGTAAAAAGTGAGGAACGCTAGTAGCAGTTAAGGATAAAAAGTGAGGTAAAATTCAGGGATAAAATGATGAGAAAGCAATAAGACAGAGATGAAGGTTAAAGGAAGCTGGAAACTGAGATGAACAGGAAGGGAGAGTAAAAAAATGAAGGAACTGAAGAAGAGACAAGTAACAGATGATAGGACATGTCCTAGTTACAGGGTGTGTACACACTGATCTTTGTGTGCATGTGTGGGTCTGCTAGAGTGGTTTGTGTTGCAAGGATCTTGGCTGCTGTCAGCCTAGGGGACTCCCAGAGGAAGCCAGTCCTTGTTCACTTTACAGTGAACGATTCCCTTCCTGCTCTGCACAACCCTGCAGGCCAATGGCCAGCCAGGTTTGTGTGTGTTGTGTTGGTTCATAGGGTGGCCTGGTGGACAGAAAAAGAGAAACTCTCTTGTAAATGAGAGGTCACAGTTGCGAAAAAGTCAATGTTTGTTCACCAACAGCCATGCGTCCGGTGGTCAGTGTCCTCAGGAACCTCTTTTTTTGTTTTCTTTTGCAAACCACTGGCTGCTTCTCAAACTTGAATTTTGTTACTGGTTTGTTTCTTCCAATTAGACAAAATTGTTAGCCTGTATGATAAAGAAAGAAATGTTTTATTATGTTCAGTATAGGCAATTTGTGACAAAGAAAGAAAGAAAGCTGCCAAACTGGAGTAAAAAGCACAACACTTCCCTCAAAATTGTAATGGAGTAGAACATAAAATAAAGATCCTTATACCATAACAATTTAGCTTACATAGTTTTAGGTCAAATGGGATGTTAAACATGTTCTTCAGATGAGAAGACAAGTAAACAAAGCAGGGGATGGAAAGCTGGATTAAAAGCAGGACAATTCAGCTCTAACAATTACAAAGGGTCATCACATCACCATTTTGTAAATAAAGAAATATTGTTCAATTTGAAACAGTAATTTGTCCCACTCTTGGTACTTGGAAAAGTAATACCCCTTCTATAATGTCTCCTGCCAACCCTATTTAAATCCCACAAGAAAACGGAACTTGTTTCCAGTCTTCCCAAACATCTTAAACCACATTCCGGTGTTTCCTCCAAGATCTTTTTCCTGGCAAAACAACTTCTGAAAGAGTCTTTCAGGCTAT